GAAGTTGAGATGTTTTCTGCTTTATAAAATGCTACCAAAATTATCTTTGGATTATATCTGTTCTACTTATAGAATAGGTATGGACTCATAGCCAATTAGTAGACTTGCTTCTTATTTTAAACATTATCATGGATTCCTTGAATGACTGAGTCCCCTTCTATAAACTGAATTCATAAAACTTCATCTTCTACATACCACTGAAAAGGAATTTCATCATTGTTGTAGGTTTATCATTTATCGAATTCAGTTGCTTTTTTCAACAAATGTTTATAGAGCAACTGCTATGTATCAGGCATGATCTGAGTACTTTGTGCAGATCTGCGGACAGTGCAGACAAAGATCTCTGCCCTGGTGAAGGATATATTCTACTGGGAGAGATAGGAAACAATAAACATAATAAATAAGCACATAATAAAATGTGCTAAAAGTTGGAGTACTGCGGAAAAAGGAAATAACAGCAGCATGAAGAGTTTTATCAGTGCTGAGTAAGGAGAGACAGACCTCTATGTTACTGTGGTCAGGATTACTCATTGACTGTGTGAAGGAAGTTGGTCAAGTAGAATCTGGGGGAAGAGCATTTCAGGCAGAGGAAACACCCAGCACAAAGGCTGAAAGCTGAAGTAGTCCTGGCCAGTTTGGGAAATGGCAGAGAGGCCAGCATGAAGGAATAGAATGAGTGAGTGGGAGAGCAGGAAGAAAGTCGGTGAGAGAAGTAATGCAAACCCAGATTCTGTATGTCTTTTCTCTGAGCGAAATGGGGAACCATTGCTGACCAGAGGGATGACATGAAATGACTTACACTTTTAAAGGACCACTGTGGCTGCAGGATGAGAACAGATGGGAGGGGTCAGAGGTGGAAGGAGGGAGACCTATGAATGAGGTGCTGCCATTAATCAGCAGAGAAGTGATGTTCCTGACTTGGACCAGAGGTGGAGACAGTGGAGGAAGTGAAAGATGGTAGAAGTAAAACCACTGAGATTTTACTTTAAAGTAAAGCCACTGGGATTTTCTGATAGATCAGGAAATGGTTTAGAGAAAAAGATGAGTCCACAATGACTATAAGATTGAATAAGTTCGTTTTTGTTATATTTGGGGGAGGCGGGGTAGAGGGAGAAGGGTCAGGGTCCTGATTTAGACATGTGCATTTTGAGATGGATATTAAATATCTAAGCAGAGATGTCAAATAAGCAATAGGATAGTTAAGGCTCGACTTTGAAAGAAAAGTCTGAACTGGAAATGTAAATTGGTAAGTTGTTAGCATATAGATGGTAATTAAAACCATGAGTCAGGGTGAGATCACCAAAGAAGTGAATGTAGATAAAGAACTTCTTGAGTCCATTTCATGTAGTTGACATTATTTACTCAGTGGGCCTATAAAGTTAAATATTCCCTTTTCTTAAAGAGCTCGTAGTTTGTATTTGACCACATATTTTCACAAATCTAGAAGATGTCATTACATAGACTACAATGTCTGGATATATATTTCTATATATTACTAGCCATAACATAGTATGATAAATTCTATTTTTGACATTTGTAATGTAGTATAATATAATTGGTAATATAAAATTAAATATAGTAACTGTTGCATAATGGAATTGTAGAGAACAGAACAGTGAATTGACATAGTGATAAGAGAGCACAGTAAATTTAGAATACTCGGTTCTTAAGTAATATGTTTTAGAACAGATTAATGTATGATAACACTGTGAATAGTTAAGATTAAAACCTTAATTGAAGGATCACTTGACATTATTCTTTAATAAACTATCTTCAAGTCAACGTTTGGGCACCCAGTTTGTCTCCCACATTTTCCCATCCTGTTGCTTAAAAGGCTACTGAAGCCCATTGCAGCACTGTTCTGGGGTGAAAGCAGGGGTGGAGTGGGAAGGAAGGCACAGGAATGAACCCCACTCTCGGCGTCTGTTCTTCAGGATTTCATTGGGAGTGAGCAGGTGTGTGTATGTCCCCTAGTCAGTCAGTCAACCCATGTGGTAGTGCACTGTTCATACTGTCTTTCTCATGGCCCCAGCATGGGTGAAAAAAGGGATCTTCTGCTTTATGCTGTAGCATGTTAAATCTCCAAAATCAGAACAATCCCATCCTCTCTGGGAAGTGATGCCTTTAATGTGGTTTTCTACTCCCAGCTCTAAGGAAAAGGATATTGTTGGGTTATGAGATATCTACCCGCGATCATTGGCGAAGTAGGTGAAAACTATAGAAACTGCTTTCTGGTGAGATTTATATTCATATTCATATTTACATATGACATATACATTTTCAAATGACTTTTACCTTGCATAAATCAGCCTTGTGACTTAGGACAAGTAATCCCAATTGTAAGGAATATTCAGGCAACAGATGAATTAAAAGATTACTTAAGTATTTTTTTTTTCTTTATTGATTCTAGAGAGAGAGGAAGGGAGAGATGGAAACATCAATGAGAGAGAACATTGATTGGCTGCCTCTTGCACCCCCCCCCCATTGGGTATGCAATCCGAGCCTACAATCCGAGCATGTGCCCTGACCAGGAATCAAACCAACAATCTTTTGATACATGGGTCAATGCTCAACCATTGAGCCACACCGGCCAGGCTTAAACATTTTTTTATATTTGTCCATATTTTCTGTTACTAGTTTTATGAGAACAATGACATAGCTCCTTGAAGACAGTTGACAATTTGGGATAAAAGTAAACAGTAATGCAAGACTAGAATTGATGTAGAACATAAATAGCAACATTTCATACTGTAAATAGCAGTGCTAAGTCACTGGGCCAGAAACATAGTTTTATGTATATTTCTCTTCTTTGCTCAATGTTCTCCCTTTACATAAACACCGTCCTGGGTGTGCCAGGTCTGTGCACCTTCATGGCTGCATCAGGTATGTCCCATCGCCTTGCACAATGCCCTTGATACACACAGCTCTCAAGAATCATTGGTGACCCATTAGGTGCTGTTTGACTAGTTGCTTTCTCACATATTAACAATATTTCAACTCTGTATTTTCCCTTTTTCCAAGCACTTTCTATGCTATCTTTCATACAATTTTTACCAATTTTTCTGTCCTATTTGCTTCTTGGTACAATGTTCAAACTAATGAAGTTAATGTAGAATAAATGGCTTCCAGTTCAGTTTATCTGGAGAGCCAGCTGACATACTGTTGTGTGCAGCAATCCTAATCAGCATTAATTTGTTTATTCAACAAATTTTTATTGAGCTTACTGAGTGCCAACCATTATATACAGTGATGGGGACGCAGAGGTGAATAAGGCAGGAGGAGTCTCTGTCCCCATGGAGCTTTCAGACAAGAAAACAGTCGCGTTGACATGTAATAATGCAAGGTCAGGGTACTGTGGGAGTATGTCAAAGAGCTCCTATATCAGTTAGAATTAAGTTCAGGTACAAATGGCAGAAAACCCAAATAGTTTAAAGGATACAGACATTTTTCTCCAATGTGAACGTCTGGAGGTAGATCAGAACTCTGTGTACTGTGTGTGTGGCCTGATGTCACCTTACTGTTTAAGATGGCTATGCTAGCCCTGTGTCCACATTCCACCAGCAGGAAGGAGGAAAAGGGAGGGGGGAGCAGGTTCCCTACCTTTACAAGAGTTCCCAGAAGTTGCTGAAATTACTTTCATTGACCAGGCTTGGTCACATGGTAATGCCTAGAAATAAGGGAGGCTGGGAAACGCAGAATGTATTCTAGGCAAACAGAAAGAAAAGGTGATGAGTACTAGGGAGCAACTAACAGTCTCTGCCCCAGGATTTCTGGGGAAAACGGTTGCCCAAATCGAGAACGCAAGGTGAGCAGGATCCTCAGAAGGGTCTGTGCGTGTGTGCCCTCACAGAAGGACAACCCTCCAGAGAAAAGGACAAGCACAGGAAACTGACACTGAGAAGTTCTTCACCAATCATGACTAATCATTGCATGATAGTGTTTGTACTTTCCTTAGGAAAAGAGATATGATTCAGATTATTTCAGAGGAAAGGGAGGGGGTTGATGTTTAGTGCAGATTTGTGGTTAAACAGGCCAGGAGGCCTTTCCAGAAGAGATAGAGGCTGGAGTAAGGTTTGTGACAGAGCAGTGTTAATCCTTTGTCTGAAATGTTGACTGAGGCAAAGGCATGTGCTTGAGTCCATTCAAAGAGGGGAGCACCCTGGCCAGAGTCGCTCCATTGGTTGAGCTTCATCCAGTGCACTGAATGGTCGCCAACTGGATTCCCGGTCAGGACACATACCCAGGCTGTGGGCTAGATTTTGTATGGGAGGCAGCTGATGTTTCTCTTTCTCTCCTTCACCCTTCCTCTCTCTCTAAAATCAAAATATATATATACACTTTTAAAAAATGGCTACTTCCTAGCTGTGAGATTTTAGACAAGTTATTTAACCTTGTGTACCTCAATTATCTCAGCTGTAAAATGGGGACACGTTTACTTTCTATCATGAAGAGCTCTTGTGGGATTAAATGAAATAAACTAAGTACTGCTTAGAACAATGCCTAACATACAGTAAACACTTAAGACATGTTCTCTGTTAAGTCATCAATCGGTATCCTTATTTCATGAATACTGAAACTAAGGCTCATGATTTTCCACGTTGGTAGTTGGAATAGGGGGTGCTGAAAGACCTTCTTTGCCATTTCTTCTTCCCTGTTTTCCTTCCTACCTTTCTTTCTCATATATCTATGTATTGGACTGGATTGAGATATAATAATTCCTGCCTAGTTGATAGGGATTTAGGGCATCTGATTTCTTTTCTTTTTCCACTTTCCTGCTTGTACCAGGGCACCAATAAGTCTCACTCACATATCTTGCATCTATTGTACTAAAATCATATTATACTTTTGTCTTTTGCCACTAGTCTGTATCTATTAGCTGTCAGGCCCAAAGTCCAAAGTTTTTTATTTGAATCTTCATACTTGAGGAATCAATAGGGTCAAAGAAATAAGAACCAGTGTTTACATAAGTGTTAATTGGACTTTTCTTTATCATCTTTCAGGTCTTGTAGAAATTTGCCTGATGCACCCCCTTGATGTGGTGAAAACCAGGTAAGGTTCTGCATGGACAAGTTTTATTGACTTTGGCTGATATCCAAATTAAGGTCTGTCAGAACACTAAATGCTAGAACTTGTCCCAGGCCGGTAGCTTCTCCCAATAATGGCATTTGTATTTACTTCTTAAAGAAAATACTATTTGACAGATAAAATGTGAACAGTGAAAAGCATTTCTAGATTGAGGTCATCTGAAGGTATATAATATTTTACTGCCTGCACATGACAACCATAAGGTATGATTTGTGGCTAAACTGGTTAAGTGAGGTGAATTTATCAAAATGTTGTAAAAACTCAACTTTATCCAGTGAATTATTACAGCAGACTTCCATTTGACATTGCATATAACAGATTGCTATTTAATAATCAGCATTTTGGTGTGAGACTCTAAAATTTCAAGTAAACTTCTTAAATGGTGCTTAAAGAATTTATTTATATAACTGTTTGCCAGTGCAACATGCCATATTTCCAGGAACATGCATTTGTTCTTAAAGGTGGATACAAATAAGGGCAATGTATCAAATCTATTTACCAAGATTAAAAAAAAAAAAATCTTATGAGTTTTAATATGATCTAGAGCATTTAAAAGAGTTAAACCTGTTGCTGAATTATTGAAGTCTCTGGTTTTTTTATTTGTTTTTTTCAAATTAGAAGCTCTTAGAATGTAGTGAAAGTTTTTGTTTATTTGTATTGTGTAAAACCCAAGCTGTATACCTAAGTTGTAGCTTAACAGCAAACAGTGACATGCAACAGTGGGAGTCGAACAAACCCTTACTGCCACAATTAGTCCCCTTTATCCACAGTGACTCTTCCTGAGGTTTCAGTTACCCACAGTCAACCGCAGTCCAAAAATATTAAATAGAAAATCAGAAATAAACAACTTGTAATCTTCAAATTGTGTGCCTTTCTGAGTAATGTGATGAAATCTCGTCCCATCCCACTCCATCCTGTTCAGGAAGTGAATCGTCCCTTTGTCCAGCATATCCGCACTGTCTGGGTAGTATAATAAAGTGTTTTGAGAGAGAGAGAGAGAAAGAAATCACATTCACGTAACTTTTAACAGTATACTGTTGTAATTGTTCTATGTTATCATTAGTTATTGTTCTTAATCTCTTACTATGCTTAATTTATAAGTTAAACTTTATCATATGGATAGGAATAAACATAGTATCTATAGGGTTTCTTATAAGGGCACTATAAGAATCTATAAGGCACTATAAGAATCATGATTTCATCCATTCACTGAGGGTCTTGGAACGTATCCCCCAAAAATAAGCGGGGATTACTGTGCTTGATGAGCCAGGCTGGTCATTGAATGAACACGTTGCTTAATTTACCTAAAGAGGTTGCAGAATCTTAGTCTGGTTGCTTAAGGCAAGGGAAGGTGACTATGGCATGAATATCATATTACATTTCTAACAGAGGTAGAGAAGATGAGCATCTGTCCTCTGCCTTAGCTTAGGCTCTACAACAAAATAGCAGACTGGGTAGCTTAAGCAACATTTATTTCTCACAGTTCTGGATGTGGGAAATGCAAGATCAAGTTGCCAGTCAATTTGGTGGGCCCTCTTCCTGACTTGTAGACAGTTACCTTCTTTCTGTATCCTCACATGGCAGAGAAAGCGAGTTCTTATGCCTCTTCTTTTTCTTATAAGAGCACTAATCCCATCATGGGGGCTCCACCCTTATGACCTCATCTAAACCTAATTACTTCCCTGGAGTCCCACCTCCAAATACCATCACACTGGGGATTAGGGCTTCAAAGTATGAATTTGGGGGTTTGTAAACATTCAGTTCCTAACAGCCTCAAGTCACCAAACCCAAACAGAGAAAGAATAAAGCCACAAATTATATTTAAATATAAAATGCATGCACTCCCTGGAGTATCTTTTTATAGAGTTCAGAAACAGACAGCAAAATTCACTGGACTCTTCTTAGACTTCGTGTGAACCTCTGAAAAGCTAGAATATTTTTGGTAGTCTCTCTGAGGGAAAAAAAAAAGGGTCTTTTTCAGTTAAGGGCAATTGCCTAAATTTGTGAAGTGTTCAAATGAGCATGGAGGAGAACCGAGCATGATTTAAACAAGACATCATATTGAAATTATGGTTATTCAGTCGCTCAATCCCTCATTCATGCGTTTAGCAAACGTGTATTGAGTATCTGGTATGTATGGGTTTCAGGCTAGCTTTGCCCTCAGAGAGCTCACAATCTGATTAACTAATACAAATCTCATCACAACGAATTAAAAAAACCATAGTACAGTTGACCCTTGAACAAAGTGGGGGTTGGGATGCTAACCTCTCACACAGTCGAAAGTCAGCGTATAACAACTATATCCTTTCTTTGTACTGGAGTTGAATAGAATCATTCTTAAAGTGGATGTGACAAGCTACTGGGCTTTATCTCTTTTTTGTTATATAGATATTTTCATGAAAATGGCATTGATTTACTGTAATTAGACATATGTTCTTGCCTAGGGGAGGGACAATACAATCCTTCCAGGTGCACTAAAGGAGAAGGGAACTGGATACCAGGTGGTATTTGACCTGCATGATAATAAAAAGTATATTGCATTAAAAACCCACAATCATAGAGTAAACTGAAAGCCCAAAAATATGTGCAAATGACTTTGCAGTGGAAGTGACCATGCAAGATTGGTAGCATTTACCGCCAGGCACCAACACACAGGTGATCAGGAGTAGGAAGAACAGACTAAATAACGGTAAAATTTTTTCACTATTATATAGACAATCACTACATTTCTAAATAAGATAAACTAAACTATAAGAGGTAATATATGAAACCATGTAGCATTAGTTATGGGAGCAGATCACTTTCCTAAAGGACATCCAAGGGCACTGGGTTCTAAGTTATCACAGGCATTGTCCAAGTGGGGGTGGGCATACACCAGGCCAAACCTCACTTGCTTTGCAGGGTTCTTTGTGAACTGTTTCTGCCTCTTCTTAGATATTTTTGCTTGAAGGGTGACGCACTTAACCTGAGTATGGAAATGGCTCATTTCCCACCGTATCTCATGTGCTGGAGTACGGCAAAATAAATGTTTTTACTTCTTGAAGTCTAGTCCTTCCTTTCGGGGTTCTAGTTGTGCCTAATCCTCTTCTTTGTTGAATGAAAGATAACAGATTCTAAAACTGTATTTCCAAATTCTTTCTTCACAGATTTTTTTTCCATTATTTTTTTTTCTGTACATGATTGATTCTGTTACCCCAGGCTGGAGGGATAAAGCGAAGTGGTGATGTTATCAGAGTTCAGGGACCAGGGTTACCTGGTAGAAGCTAGAATCATAGCAAATCTGCCTAGTGGTAGCTGGGGGCTCAGAGGAGCATTGGCCACTGCCTACGATTCACTGCTTGGGGCAGAGAAGGAGGGAGAGAAATACTCTGGTCTCTCCTTTTCCCACACTCTGCAGTCTCCCATCAGAGCTTCTGTATCTGAATGCGTGGAAGCCTGGGAGGCCCAGCCTAGCAGAGGGCAGTCCCGCTGTACAACAGAGCAGGGCCAAACAAGGGAGGCGGCGGAAATGGGTCTGAAGACAAACAGAACCAGGGCTGACATACCATCATTTCAGGGGATTTGGAGAAAAGAAAAAGCTGACATAAGCAAGCTAACCTTTTTCTTTCTTCCTTTCTTCCATCCTTTCTTCCATCCTTTCTTTCTTTCTTTCTTTCTTTCTTTCTTTCTTTCTTTCTTTCTTTCTTTCTTTCTTTCTTTCTTTCTTTCGAGATATAACTGATATGTAATGTTATGTTAGTTTCAGGTGTACAACATAATGATTCCATATTTGTATACACTGCAAAATGATACCACAATAAGTCTAGTTAACCTCCATCGTGACACAAGTTACAATTTTTTTCTTGTGATGAGAATTTTTAAGATCCACTCTCTTAGTATCTTTCAAATATACAATATAGTGTTAATAGCTATAGTTACCATGCTATATATATCCCCTGGACTTATTTATTTTATAACTGAAAATTTGTGGGTTTTTTTTACCACCTTCACCCATTTAGACTACCCCCCAACCCACAGGCCCTGGTAATCATCAGTCTGTTCTCTGTATCTATGAGCTTGGTTTGCTTGGTTTCTTTCTTTCTTTTAATCCTCAACCGAGGACATTTTTTCATTTTTTGTTCAGATAGAGTGGGAGGGAGAGAGAGAGAGAGAGAGAAACATCAACAAACATCGACGTGAAAGGGACACATTGAGTGGCTGCCACCCGCACGACCCAACGAGGGCCGGGGACAAACTGCAACCGAGGTACATGCCCTTAGCGGGAACCGAACCCGGGTCTCTTTGACCGCAGCCTGATGCTCTAACCGCTGAGCCAAACCGGCCAGGGCTCTTTCTTTCTTTTTATAGAGTCCACTTATGAGTGAGAACACATGATATTTGTCTCTTTTTAAAAACATTACTGAACTTATTGGGGTGACATTGGTTAATAAAATTATATGTTTCAGGTGTACAGTTCTTTAATATAGCATCTGTATATTATATTGTGTGTTCACCACCCCAAGTCAAGTCTCTTTCATCACCATTTATTTCCCCCTTTACCCTTTTCTACCTCCCCACCTGCTTTTTCTCTGGTAATCACGATACTGTTTTCTGTGTCTGTGAGTTTTTTGGTTTTTTTCTTTGCTTAATCTCTTCACTTTTTACACCTAGTATTTGTCTTTGTCTGACTTATTTCACTTAGCATAATGCCCTCAAGGTCCACTCGTCATCCACTTTGTCACAAATGGCAAGATTTTCTTCTTTTTCATGGCTGAATGATATTCCAGCACATATATATCACACTTTCTTTTTCATTCATCGATGGACATTTAGAATTGCAAGCATGCATTTTCAATTCATCATGCTTAACAGGAACTCACTTTACATTTAAAAAAATGATTAGAAGTTATAGTCGATAAATCTTTTATGGAGGGATTTTAGGCACTGTGGCACTTGGCTTTATATGGGAAATAGCTTTTGTGCTG